ATCCATATGTATATATCGACAACTATTTCAAAAAGAAGTTCACTTGCCAAATTCTGCATCAACAAAAACACCCTGTATAATCATCTAATACAGAATTTGGCAAATAAACTGTTTTCGAAATACATAGCAGTTACGTATGGAAATCGCATTTTAAATATATTTAACTACGTAATATCCATATGTATATATTGACAACTATTTCAAAAAGAAGTTCACTTGCCAAATTCTGCATCAACAAAAACACCCTGTATAATCATTTAATACAGAATTTGGCAAATAAACTGTTTTCGAAATACATAGCAGTTACGTATGGAAATCGCATTTTAAATATATTTAACTACGTAATATCCATATGTATATATTGACAACTATTTCAAAAAGAAGTTCACTTGCCAAATTCTGCATCAACAAAAACACCCTGTATAATCATTTAATACAGAATTTGGCAAATAAACTGTTTTCGAAATACATAGCAGTTACGTATGGAAATCGCATTTTAAATATATTTAACTACGTAATATCCATATGTATATATCGACAACTATTTCAAAAAGAAGTTCACTTGCCAAATTCTGCATCAACAAAAACACCCTGTATAATCATTTAATACAGAATTTGGCAAATAAACTGTTTTCGAAATACATAGCAGTTACGTATGGAAATCGCATTTTAAATATATTTAACTACGTAATATCCATATGTACACAAGAACATTCGATTCCATGATTTGTCAAGAATGGTTCACGAAGGAAAAACATTAGATTCTATAATCCGTCGTAAATGGTTCACAAACAAAAGCTATTAGATTCTAGAATTCGTCAAAAATAGTTCACAAACAATAACCATTCGATTCTTTAATGTGATATCAACAACTATTTCAAAAAGATGTTCACTCGCCTAATTCTGTATTAAATGATTGTACAGGGTGTTCCAAAATTATGGTATTTCCGGGAAATGGGAGATTCCTGAAGTGATTTGAAGTAACTTTTTCCTTATCGAAACTACAATCGGCGGCTTCGTTTGCGAGTTATCAACGAAAAACCGTGACCAATAAGAGGCGAGATCGGCTGACAGGCAGCGACCGAGCCAATGAGCGGTACTGCGTTTCGTCCGCCTTGCGCCAACCGAGCTCGCCTCTCATTGGTCAGCGTTTTTCGTTAATAACTCGTAAACGAAGCCGCGGATTGCATTTTCGCTAAGGAAAAAGTTACTTGAAATTACCTCAGGAACTCTTCATTTCCTGAAAGTATCGTAATTTTAGGACATCCTGTATAGTCTATTTACTACTTCAAAAACCTATTTTTCCCCAGCCCTGTAAAGCACAAATAACAGAATAATTCTTCCAAGTTAAAACGCAAAGCTGCCGAAGGACAATAGTCGAGACAAACAACAATCGAACTCGCTGAATATTTATGAAATGTATCCGATTAGACTCGAACAGGGCAGAAAACTCCAAGGGTACCGAAAACTCTGAATACGGATCCTTTTTCGAAGATCCAAGATTATCTTGGAGTACGTTCCGAAATGATAATGAAACGGAAGTTTCGACTGATTTACGTACCAGCATGGTTCTATCCGCTATTAATTAAGGCCACCTTGGACCCGGGAAAATCACCGACGAGAAATTAGTTCCCGGCGGAGAATGAGGACGGTACCTGCGGATGGGCGCCGCTGGATTCTTAAAGTACCGCGATTCTTGCGGAAATGGGGCGCGTAAATAGGCGTCGAGGGTCTCCCGTGGGAACCGGCGGGAATAAGTACTCGGATGCTCCCGGATCCGCTCGACTTATACTTCCCGGACGATTGCGAGAGGGTTTAGTGACAATTATCGAGTGATTTTTTTTTAGCTGCCGCACACCGTGAATCGGACGCGCAATTATTTCCTCCGTGTCAGCGCCGTGCGATTGCGCGCATTTTGCGAAATCGTGTTAAACGAAGTGTTACGTTGTCGTTGGCGCTAATACGTTGCGCTGTTACTATAATCGGCTTCGATTCACTTCGAAGGATTCGTTAAATTTGTTTTCGCAGTCGGGACGAGACATAATCGGCGCGGGCTAACAGGATCGTGCTCGTTCGAACGTAAATCGGCTCGTCGTAATTTTCTTAAACACGATCCAGCACGATGATCTCTTTGCACGCGCCGCGCCGTTCGACTCTTCTAGTCCAATTAGCCGGCGATCGTGACGGCTGAAGTCGTTACGGGCAATAAACGGCGCTCGGCGAATCTTCTATTCTTCTTGAAGAAATCGCTTGACAGCGCTTTCTTGGCCGTTTAACCTCCCGTTAACGGACCCGTTCGATCGCTCGTTAATTCCACTGCCACCGGATGCGATGATTATCGATAAAAGTAGCTTGCATACGATTCCAACGGACATAATCGTCCGTCTGAGAGAGCGATTATTAACTCGGGGGGGACAGGCGAATGCAGTTCTGGCAGCTATTTATAACTCCGTCGAAGTTCCGTAAGGATCATTGACTGCCGCGAACCCTTTGGAACGTTCTCCGGGGAGAGGTGACAGTCATTGATGTTAGATGAGCAGACACTGCTCCTCAATGACTCGCGTCAGTGCTAAGACCGTGTCCCTAGCAGATGCTAAGCCTTGCTACAGGCCTCGGAGACGTGTCTCCGCTATAACAAGCACTGTCTAGAGACTCTGGTCGCCTTTACAGTTGTGTATAGGGATTAATAGATGACACTAATCTAACCTGAAGGTTAATTACTCATACGCGCGAATATATCCAGCGCATACATCTGCTAGGTCCCGGATAAACCGGTCACCAGAATAAAATTGTCGACTTCGTCGCATCTTGAACATTTTGACTTTTACATTGTTTATATTTCCGTATCACCGGCCTCAGGGTCCTGCTAATTCAATTACGTCGTAATTGAATTACGTAATTGAATTACATTGCATTTCAATTGGATCGCAGTTCAACTACGTTGTACTTCAATTACATCGTAATTCAATTATACCGTATTTTAGTTACATTGTAATGCAATTACATTGTATTTCAATTACATTGTAATGCAACTACATTGTAATTCAGTTACGCGTAAATCGGTTAATTCAATTATTAATCATCTCAGCCAGGAGTGTAATTGAACTATTTTATAATTGAATTATTATGTAATCGAATTAGTTTGTAATTGAATGACTCTGTAATTGAATTAGTTTGTGACTGAATTACTTTGCAATTGAATTAGTTTGTGACTGAATTACTTTGCAATCGAATTACTTTGCAATTAAATTACTTTATAATTAAATTAAATGGCGATCTGAATTACGAATTGCAATGTAATTTAATTATCTCGTAATTATAATTCCCCGAGCGATTCAATTATAATCCTGGCACAACTCGGGCAGACTTGAGAGGATGAACATTCGTGAATGGGAAATAATTGAAGAGCCGCTGCTTTTAGTGGCTGCATTAAACTAAATCGGGGAGGGGGGGGATGGAAAAACGGCGGGTTTAGGAGGCGCGAGGTATTTTCACGCCGTTAGCATCGCGAGATCGACGGGTTCGCAAAATAGACCGGAAAATGGTCTGTGTTACGTAACGCAAGGTTGTTCGAGGCAATCGTGCGAAGTGGAACGTGGCAATGGGCGCGCGCGAGGGACGCTTTGAATGACCCTTGCTCATAATTATTTCGTAGTTTCAGCTTCAGCCAGATCTTTAAGTGCACGCTTAAATGGAACGACGATGCATCCGCGACGATCTTGCGCGTTCGCTCCACGCTCTGTTCTGCCTGTGAAACTTCTCTCGCCTGCTTTGCTGCACGCTCGCCGCAAGGACAACGGATCCTTGGCGCGCCGTCTCCTCGGATCGAGGCGATCGGACACACTTTGCTTCGCGCGAACTTCGCCGCTTTATTAGCCGTTCTTTTATTTTATTTTCTTTTCTTCTCTTTTCGCTGGACGGTCGTGGGCGTTCACCGGTTTCTCCGGGTATACAACGTTAACGCCGTTGTCCTTCGATCAACTTCTTCGAACTTCCCCCGGCGGGCTGTGTGGACTCTTGCGAAGCGAGACCGTTGTTCGAGCCCGGCTCCGCGGAAATGAGACTCTAACTAATTCCCAGGTTCCGTAACTCAACTTTCGCGGGCCTGGAACCGGTTTAAACGGCTCTGCTCCAGCGAAATAGAGTCCCGCGAAGTAGCGACTTCAATTCGAATCTGTATTTAATATTCTGCCGCGATCGATGTTTCGCTTAACGATGTGGTCTTGTCTGTAAACTTTCGATGAGAGAATGGCTAAAAGTGTTTACACGAATATCGATGCATCATTCGCAAGTTTCTCCGAAAATCATTACACCGAAAAGAGGTCGACTTCCCTTCGCGGTCCAACGCGATACAGTTGTACACCCCCTGGCGAAAAGTATTCGCCTTTTCGAACGCAATAACATTTTTTAAACTGCTCCAAATTGCTGGAATTTTTCGTTGCCGCAAATATATTCGTCGCAGGTTCAGACGAAAAAATTTAAAAAACGCCCGATCTTCATTCCTCGCTGTTACTTCAAATAACAGCGAAATTCAGAAAAAGTGAACCCTTTAACGATTAAAAAGAATTCCAGTCATTTAGCACAGTTCGAAGAAAGTCGCTGCGATCGAACACTTCTTGCCAGGTTTCGTACGAATAAACTTTCGTCCAGCTTCGATCGCCATAGAAGAGAACTCGCCGAAAGATCTGGCGACAGGCCGGGAATAACGCTGTAAAAAATACCGTTCTCATAACAACGGTTTCCGTCTCTTACGGGCGGCAAGTAGGTGATACGATCTATTCCGATGGGCAGCTGTAAATTAGCCATTTGTAAAAATACGGTCCTCGGAATCGGCGATCGAGCCGCGATCGTTCGGACGAAACGTGGTCGGTGCCCACGACTGTCGTGGGAAGGGAAAGCCGATCGGGAGACGTAGTCCGGTTAGAATGAAGGAAAAGCGTGCCACGGTTCGCGAACGGGATAACCAGGCCCCATTAACCTTCTGCTCTGCTACTGTTCAGGCAAAGTGGACGAGAAAGCGACGCAACTACACGCGATAGCCTCGCTGAAGGTGCTGCTGGACGCGACCAGGCCGCACAACGGCGCGGCGACGTCGACGGCGGCACAGTACTCCGGCGCAGCGTCGAAAGAGACCACTCTGCAGTTGCAGCAGGGCTCCCAGGGCACGACCACGACCACCACCACGACGACAACCACCGCCGGCACCACTGCCGGCATCCAGGAACTTCCCAACGGCGGTATAGCCGCCGGCCTCGACGCCGGCCTCGAATCGGTAATTGTCGGATTCGACGGATGCCTGAAACTTTCCGCGAACCCCCCTATGGGCTCGCTCGATTATTGCGGTGCCATCGGCGCCGGTGGTTTCCGGCCCCTGTGTCCCGTCGCGGAAATTCCTCGTTTCGAATTTTCCCTCGATCCGCCGCCGAACGGGCAGCCTCCGCTCCAAGATCCAAAAATATTTACCTTTCGCGCATTCAGATTTGGGAACTCTGTTCGATGGCCTCTTTCTGTTGCATCTGCAACGGCTACTTCTGCGGAATCGTTGCACAAGATTTTAGAAGGATCGCATTTTGCAATGACCGATCGGATATCACCTTGACATAACCTTGACATGACCTTGACGTAACCTTGACATAACCTTGACGTAATGATATATATGATGACATATATATCATATATGATATGATGGACATATGATCCAATGATCAATTGGAACATTCTCAAGGCGATATCGAGACATCCAAAAGTCCTTCTAGCTGGGATTTCTAGTCTACTGCCTAAATGACAGCCATCATTTTTACAAATCTAAGGTCGATAAAGTAACAAGTAGACCACACTGTCCTCCTTAGTTAACCCTTTGCACTCAAAGCTATTTTAACTGTAAATATAAAATAATTTTTCTAACTTCTAGTATTTCTATTTTATATGACAAAATGCATTTTATGCATATGAAATTGACACTTGGGACTCGCACAACAGTTACACTCTTAATAATTTTTTAAATCTAAACTTTGTCAATATCAAAATTATCTTAAAAGGCGATATAACAAATTTTAGTGGTGCCTCAGAGTTGCCACTCGAGGGCAAAGGGTTTAATTGTCCTAACTAACATTTCCGATCATCCAAGAACTGGAGCTTGAAAGTAATAAAATAATATTTAGATAAGTGAATACAAAGAAATGCGATTAAATTTGGAACTATGTAAAGTATAGAGAATATTCAAGCTACGCTTAGAAGGTAAAAGGCAAGCGATGTTCCGAATATTTTCAAATATCCTGGAATCTGGCAGATTAATAGAGAAGAAATTTTAATTAATGACGACGGTACAGGTATCTATTTTTTTTTTTTTTTTAAGAAGATGGGTGAAACAGTATTTTATTACTTTCAATAATGTCCACTAATGACGCCCAGTTAGAATTTAATCAAGTCGGTGGAAGCATCGGCATCGTGGAAATCGTTTAATGTTTTTCGTTCGAGGAGTCCAGGCTTCGTGTTCTTCCGAAGCTCTCGGTGACTGGCTGACCTTTCCCTCTGGCGAGTGCAAGCACTGCAGTGTCGGTGGCCGTTTCCGGCAGCCACGCGTCTGCCTGTCCGAGGAAGTTCATCGGTGCTACCGCAGTTCCCTTTAAACCGGCCCCGTTTGGGACGATAAGTGGAGCTCCCTCTTCTTGTTGTTAAATCTCTCAAGGCCTCTAATCAGCCGCTTCGAACAAAGCTACCGCTGCCAGCTAGGGAGTTAGCAACTTCCAGCTACGAAAGATCGAGGAGCTGCTCCGGGGAGGGGATCGAAAGCGAACCGACTCGGATTTCATGAAATTTTCTGGATCCCTGGGAAGCGAGTAACGATCTTGGTACCTTGGGCAGTGTATTAAACAGCTTCTTCGTAGAAGTAAACGACTGCGGCACTGACGATACGCCTCCATCAAAAATTGAGAACCATTTGATGCTCGAATTTACCTCTTTCGGGTAGGATGGTTCGAAAGGACTTGTGCACTCGTTGTACGGTGTGGAATAGTTCTTTATTCTCTTGCGAACTTTGTCTTCAGACGAGTCGCGGTGCAGTGATCGAGTCTTCGTTTTTACACTCGCCGTTTGCCCTGGTAAAATTCCTGAACAACCCTGATTGGCTAACCCCACGCGTTGAGCCTTCCCAATCGGCGTTGTTCATTTGTCCTTTTCACCGCCTGTTCCTTACGTCCTTCGCGTATTTTCGGAACGGCGCGGTGATCGGAGGGGATAATGAGTTGGACGTGGCAACGTGTGGAACTTTTCCCTCGGGTCGGCCGCGTCGGACCACATGGCCCTTGGGTCGCTGGGTCCGCTTCAAGTATCCTTCGGAAACTCTCCGAATTTATGACGGTCTCCGTTTGCTATTGAGGTATTTCGAAAAAACTCTATTGCAAACGTGCGTCGTCAAGATTTGGAACTTATCATCTCAAAAATAGCTTCCTCTTCTGGTCGTTTGCACGAGGACTAAGGTTTCCATTGTGCGTACGAGTGGGCGCTGCAACCTAAGCTCTTCTTGCTCGCTAAATTTTCTACATCGAATGATTTTTAGCCGGCGCGTGAGTTCTCGATAAGTGACGGCGCAGGGAATATTGAACAAAGTCGATAAGGAACTTCAAAGAAGAGAAGCAGCTTCTTGTCGATAAAATCGCTATTTTTAAAGCGTTCTGAATAAACATTAAGCGTTCATTCGAACCACACGATTTCTCTCAAAGTCTTCAGTCGCCGATGTCGATGGGTATTTATGAGACGACGCGAGTTCCACGAGCATCGATATAAAAAAAAAGTCCACGGAATGCTGCTTCAAAACAAACGTTTCGGAAAGCGGACTCGTCGCTCCGTTTCGCTGGAACAAACATAACACTTTCTTAGGAGCCTCTCAAGTGGCCGATGTAAGGGATCCGCTTCGTAGGTAAAAACCACCGAAATTGCTTCTCGCAGCTTTCAGGGGCGCGAGAACCGGGTCTATGCCACCCCAATCTCGACTCTGCTTCCTATCAGATTACCAGGGCTGCCCGAGGTGCTCCCACCTAACAGCTAGTGTCCGATAAACTCTAGCCCGTCGAGTCCTAGCTTGCCGAAGTGCCTGGAAGCGGTTTCTGTTTATACATCTGCTTCTGTTTTCACGGCGCGGCGTCTTCTTCGCCGGCTTCGTTAAAGTATCCCCAGTTTATGGGGTCGCGCTAAGCTCTTTTCCAATGACAGCTCGGCATTTCGTTCCTACTCGAACTCATTCCCGTCCCATGCTTTCCCAATCGTACGTACCTGGACAACGTTCTGAAATTTCTTCAGCTTCCCGAGAGCTCCGAGTTCAGTCAACGGGGTTCTACAGGATGTCCCAAAAATGCCCCGCAATACGTAAATATGGTGTAGCTGAGATCATTCTAAGTAACTTTTTCCTTTGCGAAAATGCAATCTACGGTTTCGTTTACGAGTTATTAACGAAAAACAGTGACCAATCAGAGGCGAGATCATTTGGCGCGAGCCAACGTGCGGAACTGGGCTCCGTGCGCTCGTTGGCTGGGCCGCCGCGCGCCAGCCGAACTCGCCTCTTATCGGTCAGTGTTTTGCGTTAATAACTCGTAAACGAAGCCTCGGAGAAAATTTTCGCAAAGGAGAAAGTTGCCTCAAATGACCTCAAGAACCTCCCATTTCCGGATTGCGAGACATTTTCGGGACACCCTGTAGAGTCAAAGCGTCTAGTTTATGGGCACTCATTAAGCTCTTTCAAGATGACAGCTCTGCTCCAACTCGTCCTCGAGTAATAGTTTCTCGATGTACGAACTCGGACAATGCTTCCAGCCGAGCCGCAAGAGTAAAATGTCTCCACTTTCTCGCCGAAGACGAAAGCTCGGATTTTAATCAACAGACGTCCCTGGACTAACAAGAAGCTCGATCCCCAACCAACTGGGCGTCCAACAAACCTAGTCGAGCTTTTCTTCGGCCGTTTTCCACGCGGCTCCTGGAGCCTAAACAACGGCTTCGTTAAAAGTAACTCGGAATCGTCGGCGCAGAAAACTTGCTAAGCCGCGCTCCGGCCTGAAAGCCTGCCGCGGAGGTAAATCCCGAGCGGGATTCCGCTGAAAGCCCTAAGTATTTCAATATCGACAGCGTCGGTGAGTGGCTCGCGGGCGTAGTTAGCCCGGCAGCCAATGGTAGCCTGATCCGCGCGGTCTGGAAGGATCCGGAACGCGTCGCCGCGAATTTCCGCGCGATTCCCGAAAAGCCTGGACCGTCCTCGAGAGAACAATGGGGACGAGGGGGGTGGCGAGACGCGAGCCGAATTCCGGCGTGATCTCGTTCGCCGTTCCTGGTTCAGGGCGAAGGGGTGACAAGCTTCTTCGAGCACGATCCTCCAGGATCGCAATTTGAATTCGCTTCCTGTCACGAAGCCGGGGCCGCTCCTCTCTTTCGCTTCCACGGAAAATAACAGCTCGACCGTCGGCCCCCGCCGTATTCCCCGGCTCAATTATCGCCTATCGATCGCGACCAATCAGCCTTATATCGTGCTTACTCCGTTTCTTTCCCGATGCCGAACGGACGCCGCCTCGCCGAGCGTATTCTGCCCGGCGCGGCTGGTCCGTAATTCCGAGACCGAATCTCGACGCGCTGAAATAATGAAACTCCGCTCGAGATAATCGTGCCCGACGATATGAGGCACCGCGGCTCCAGCCATCGGAGAACGGGGAACTAACGATCATTGGATTCCGATGCCGGAGCACCGTGTTTTACTCGTCGGCCACTCGCGAAGACACTTTCAACGGGATCTTCGTCTCGAAGTGGCTTCCTTCTTTCCTGCGCAACTCGCTCGCGGATTTATGCTTGTTAAACGCGTGCGGAATGGGCCTGTAATTAGTCCGCGAATCTTATGCGTTTATCGCAAATATGATTAAGTCGAAACAGTGAAAACATTTGGAGAATTTAAAAATACTGTCGCATTACTTTCAACTCGTTAAAGCTATTAAAGAAACGATACGAACGTCGATGCAGCTTCTGTATCTTGCAATCGGTGCGGACGATTTTCATTTTCATAAAGATCCGCTTGTTCATTTACAATGCCTTGACAGACAGGATCTCGAGTGACGAGCGAGATCTGCGATCCAATTATATGCACACCCCATGGGTACGTGTGGACAATTATACCGCTTGTAATGAATAAGTGATGTGCGATATGAATTAATGTTATAAAACGATGCATGTCGGCGAATTTTATTTCGGGTATATAATCGGTTATTTGTGGGAATTATTACGTACTGAGTGGAAGAA